CCCCGCCCCCCTGCCCCTGCCCTGCCTTTGGCCCCAAGCCCAGGGAGGCCGGTCAGCTCCAGCTCCTTCGGGCCCCAGGCTGCATCCCGAGACGTCAGGGCCGCCTGGGCGCTAGACGGCCTCCCCGTCCCCATGGAAGGCAGCGTGGGGACAATGCTCGACTCTTGTTCTTTGCAAAAGAAAATGAGCCAGTGCGCGCTGAGGTTCCAGGAAGAGCCCGTGGGCGTCCCGTCCCGCAGGAGCCGCGCCCCGCGCGCGCTGCCGCGTGGAGGGCAGGCCACCGGCGCTCTCGGGGCCAGCGGACAGGCTGGGGCGGCTGCAGGGGACAATTCCACGTAGCCCTTTTCACCCGGAGACCTTTTATGTTCGCCTGGAAGCATCCCGAGGAATAAATCTTCCCACAGGAACACGGGGCGATCATGCTCCCGGAGAGGCTCCCAGAGTCTCCCTCCCGTGTCTTCCAGAAACTTCACCGCAGCTTTTATAGCAAAAGGCACATCCTAACAGTGAACACAAAACCGAAACAAAACCCACGGGCAGCTTTCTGCTCCTTGGAGAAGCTGTCACGCCCACAGGACATTCGTCTGCGTGGGTGTCCTCCCCATAAAACGTCTAGAAAGTGAGGAAGTGACGCTTTCAGAGTTCAGATGGACAGCTCAGCGCCCAGGGCACAAGGCAGCTATTCCGAGACGAGCTCCACCCACAGAGGCCTTTTAAATGTGTGGCTAAGATTAGGCAAATGACAACACAACTCCTACTGCCTACTGTGCGCCTACCAGGTGCCAGCAACGGTGCCTCCCACGCAGCACCTCGCCATCCACCCTCAGGCTGTCACCTGCGACCCGTGGGAGTCACCTGGCCATTCAAGCCAAGCCCGCGTGTTTCCAAAGTGGGAGCCCGTGTTGTCCCGTCGAGAAGGGGGCAGCCTGGCCCAGCCCAGCCCAGCAGCCCGGTGTGAAAGGCTGAGCCAGTGGAGGGTCCACATGGAAACTTCTAGAATACAGTGCTCGACCAGCACTTCTCAGAGTCTGTCTGGCTGGACGAGGTGCCCAGGTGCTGGAGCTGGGGGCCACAGTCATGGGGGTTCTTGCGACCAGAGCAGGGAGGGGACAGGCGTGGAGCCCGGGTCATGGTGCCGGGCACAGCCACAAAGGCCAATTGAGGGAGAGGGGGGCCCCTCCCACTGCGGTCCCCTGTGTGAGATGACAATCGTCTCATTGAGCTCGTGGGCAGAAATGCACATTCTCGCCATTTTTATTATCTACTTAATTGAACAGAAGAATTTCAGTGAGGAAGTGGGGCTGTGCTGTTTGCAGCCACTTAACCCTTGGTGTCCAGGCACGTCTGAGAAGTCCTCCTTGGGACAAGCTTGAGGGTTTTCTTCCCGAGGTCGAGGTCACAGCACAGAACAGCCCATGGGCTGCGTGGGGACCACGGCGGGCGGTTTACTGCCGCCCCCTTTCCCAGACCCATGCCACCGCCACCGTTTCCTGGGGGGAACTTAATTTCCTGTGCCTTGGCCATGTGTCCCATGCTCCTGGGCCAGCGACACACTTTCCTCTCTGAGGGACTTCCCGGAAGTGACGAGCCCCCCAGAAGGCCATGTCTGTCATGGCTGCTGGGGGGACAGCAGCTGCCTGTGAGTGGAGGCCAGCATGTCTCGGGGACAAACGAGGTCTGCTAAAGGAATGACGGCTGTTTGCCCAAGGGCTGCCCCAGAGGGACCACCGCTCCATCGGCTGGCCAGCCTCCCTCTCAGAAACCTCTTCGAGTTCCAGTGACCAGTGTCACGTGACTTAGCTGCTCAAAACTGTGGGTGACTTCAAATTTTCCCAGCCGCCACGAGGCTGCAGCAGACGCAGGTGGCACGCGTGCGTGTGAGGTGTCTGTTCAGTCCCCCAGGAAGCTTGTCATCAGCTTGGGTTTCCCAAGAGCAGATGCAATGGTGCTGGAGGGACGTCTGTCCTTCTTCCCGCCCCTCGCTCACAATCCACAGTCATTACCAGCCACACCGTCAGGTGGCTGGCGGCAATGACGCCCTGCCCTCAGAAAGCACGCAGCCACACCCGTTCCTCAGCAGCGCCCTCACTGGGACCCACTCTTCCTACAGAAACTTAGAGGTCGCGGCGCTTCCCCAGGCGCGTAACACTCAGCTGTCCCGGGGAGCGGCGCCCTGACGTGCCCCCAGGCCCCGCCGCACGCAGGACTCAGAGCCCCGTCTGCCACGCACCTTGCTCTCTGGAGATGTCCGCCTTGTACCAGAACTTGGAGGTGTCCTGCACAAAGCTCACATGCTTATCGCCTGGATTATCTGCAAAACAGAATTTAAAACCAGGCGTTGTGAAAGGCGTTCGTATTGCTAGCGCTCACCTCCCAGGATCTGTTAGGTTGTCGGAAAAGTCATGACATATGTTTTCTGGTTTTCGTTGCAAAAATGCATCGTGACTTTTCCGACAACCCAATAGAAGGTCAAAGTCCCACCCTGGGGCAGGGATAGGGTGTCCTGGGGAAGATGACTGCCAGGAGCAAATGACAAAGACAGCGGGACACCATTACCAGGACAGTGCAGCACATGCCCGCAGCGCGCAGTTAGAAGGCGGGAGCAAACAGCTGGCCAGTGGTGCTGGACGGTGCCGGGGTCTTATTCTTATCATTTGAAATGGCTCATCATTAAATTGCAAATGAATGCATTTCATTAAAAAACATCAGTTATTCTGAACAAGCAGGAAGCCCCGTGAAAGGGGCAGCACGGCAGGGACCGTGCAGCTGCACGCCTGCTGCGGGGACAAGTCTCAGCTGCGGGGACGGGGACACAGGCTGAGGTGAGGCAGGGGCTCTGGGCTGGAGGACGGACAAGCCACAGCCCCCCGACTCCGTGTCCCCCTCCAGGCGCCAGCCCAACACCACAGGTGGCGCCGGCGCCCAGGCCCCGCTGTGCAGCCCGGGGTCCTTCCTGGGTGAACACGGTGGGTCCGGCGGNGGTGCTCTCTGCCCTGCTCTGCACCCTCCATGGGGACGTCTGCCGTGGCTTCCAGCACCCGCCATACCAGAACCCTGATGGCAGGATCTGCTGCACTGGGCTTGGTCCCCACCCCTCGCTATCTCCCCCCTGTATTTCCAAAGATAATGCATGCAAAAAACCCGTTTTCTGGCCTTGCTTTAAACTTTCAGCTGGAACCCAGGAGGTGACAGCTTCCAAGAGGTCACTCTGCACCCCTACACGCTGCGTCATCCCCACAGACCCACAGACGTCCCATCCTGGACTTGTCCTGCTGCAGTCATCACTCAGCATGTCCCTAATTGGAACGGACGCCCGAGGCCCCCCTCCGTCAGGCCCCACACAGCCCTTCAGCTGCAAAAGCCCCATTTCCACTCCAAAGAGGTGTGTGCATGGCGGGGCTTTTCAGGCTGGAATTCTGGGCGCTCATAGACCCCACCTGACAAGGCTCACCTGTCCTACCTGTGTGCACAAAGCCTCGCCCCCTTCACTTCCAGACAAGGACAGTCCCCACAGATCTGGGCTCTGTGCTGCGTCCTGAGGCCCCTCCTGCCCCGCCCCGCCCCTTCCATTCACAGGACATCTGCGCTTCCTGAAAACCCTCAGCCCAGCCTGAGGCCTGACCCTGACAGGCAAGTCTCACATTCCTCAAGGCTTAACGCCCCCATTTTCTCCAGGGAGCTTTAAGCTGAGCTTTCATCACGGACCTGAGTGAGGCCTCAGGTCCGGGCAGCACAGAACATGAGTGAGGCCTCTGAGCGTCTTGTCTGTAAAAACCAAGCCCGTCTTACTCTGACTTCCCCCACTCCTGGGGAGCCTGAGTGCCCATAGCAGGAGCCATGTGACCTGTGACATCCGCCCACACTCGCTATTTAGAGGAAAGACGGCAAAAGTCTTGTCCGTTTTCTTAGTTTGAGGCACAGTGGTGGGAAAGGCAGGAAGGCAGGGTGAGCCCAAAAGAAGAAACCGAAAACCTAGCATCCGACACACCGCGTTCGTTTTCTCATGTAAGGTTGAAAGTAGGCAAAACTAGAGTGTTCAGGGATTCGTATTTTGGTGATTAGTATAAAAACCCTTCATTCCACATTTCACTTGGGCTTCTTGCCGGGGGCGGCATGGGTGAGCTGACGAACCCTTCTGTGAACACTGGGGGCCACGGAAGGCAGGAAGTCTGCTGTTGGGATCAAGCTGGTTGCTGAGCGACAGGGCGAGAAAGGGCCTCGTGATCCCACGTTGGAACAGGCGGTGTCAGCGAGAGCACAGGGACTTTTAGAAATGATACATTCCCTAGGTCTGGTCACTGCAGAAAGCGGTGACACCCGGTAGTACAGAGCACACGGAGGGATCAGACCTGTTTGTAGCCGCCCCTCCTGGTGAGCAGACCAAGCGGAGGCTGGGCAGGGAAGTGCAGAGTGAGCCTGCCACACGTTCGGCCGTGCTCATGGACTAATGGGGACAGCACAGGACACAGGCCAGCTCAAAGGCTTCATGTGGCCAAATGTGGGGCCACTGGAATAATGGTGGGAGGGCTCAAAGCACACGGGAAGGGCCGTGCATGGGGCTGCCCGCCAGGCGTCTCCCAGACCGTGGTGCACGTGTGTCTGCTTCATGGTGATGCCACCTGTGCATTAGGCATCGCCAACATGGCTGTACACGGTCACAGCTCATGACACAGGCACTGAGAAGCGTAGGGAGGATCTGAATGGCTCTACACGCGGTTGGCTAACCTTTGCCCTCTATGCAGTGCGAGGGTCAAGGAGGAGGAAGGCACTGCCCTTGCTGGGAAGGGACACTCTAATGACTGCAGGTCCCTTAGCCTCGCTTTAATCCGTCACAGCACCGTACTGGGAACAGGCACAAGATTGGTGTGTGCAGCCTGCTCCCTGTACGTAAGGATGGGGAAGGCACACAGCCGGCCCTGGGCAGACCGTCCGTGAGAAGACACAGGAGATGATCACACGTGGTCCCACGGGGAGGAAGGGACAGAGGTGGACGGGCTGAAAACGGACATGACGCCTCCGCGGAGCCCTGTACTATTGTCCTGATACCTGAACAGTGAAACGGATCAGCTATTCCAAGCAATAAAGAAATAACGTTTACAAATAATCGAGGTCTTCTTGAATAAGGACAATGCTTAGTGAAATATACCTGAAAACACCACAGCCGCAGGGAAAGCCTGCAAGCGCGGTTCTCAGCCACCACTGTCAGGAGCAGACGCAGACCGACGCACAGGGGACGCGCACGTCAGCCCCGGGGTCCTACCTTTCTTGTTCAGCTGCAGGACAGAAGGCGGGGGGGTGGCCACCTTCATGGCCAGGCCGTAGGCGCCTCGGAAGGAGTGGCTGTCCCTGACGATGAAGGAGCCCGGCTCCTTGTCCTTCAGCATGGCGATGGCTAGGGAGGGAACACAGGGCCATGAGTGTGCCGGGGACACGGGTCTGTTTCCACTGTGACCACCGCCCTCCAGAGAAGGGTCTCTTCTCACGCCTTCTGCAAACTGGGTCAGTGGGAGTCGGCCAGGGGACAAAGTGCGGTTGGTTCCGTGCCCTCGGGAGGTCGGTGACGACACGCCCGTTCTTGCGGGGGCCTGATTGTGAAGGACACGAAGGCGCAGGGCGGCCCCCCCTCTGCGTCACAGACGTGGCCGGCACTCGAGGGCCCTGCTGCCCCATGCACACGGCTACTCAATACTTAATACAAATTCCAAGATTTGCCCCAGGGAATAGCAAAACTGTGACCATGGGCGGTTCTCTTTCCGGTGGCCCTGAGGCCAGTGTGGCCGACGGTCCAGCCTGGACAGGGCTGCACTCCTCTCTGTGGCCATCGCCATGACTCAGGGCCAGCCGAGCCCAGCACGGCCTTGCTCCGCATTTCCTAGGTGAGGCGGGCACTTTAGCTCATAATGGCTGCTTTAAAAAAACCACTCCTCCTGCTTGACTGGCAGCCCGGGTCCTGTGACCACAGCAGAGGAAGGCAGGGACCAGTTAGGGTGACAGTCACCTCAAGGTTGATGCTGCCCAGACACCTGCCAGAATTTTCTCTAGTAACCGGAATTCATCTCAGGGTTTCTTTTATATACTTTTAGCCTTTATTTAAAAAAAGACAGAAAACTAGGAATTTCAAGTATAAAGTAGCACAAAATTAACAGCCACGGAAACGCTGCCTTTCTGTAAACCAAAGGCTGTCTGGAG